AGTGCTGAGAAAATGAGAGTAGCTGACCTTAAGGAGGATTGTACCCAACTAAATAAAGGCAACGTGCAACCTTCTCCAGACTTGTTCATAAAGGATTACTACTTTCGATCCAATGCCATGTTTGCGGGCGATTCTTTTTTTTTTTTCAAGGCAAGCCCAGATGGCATGGGACAAAGACGCGAATCAGTTACAAGGAGGACTCCAGAAAAAGACGTTAAAGCTACTACATGGGCAGCTCTGTTAAAGCTCCGATGAGCAAAACGACACGACACTGACTAAAAAAAGAGAGAAAAACTAGTGAACTTCCTCCACGATAGCCCCTGCTCGAGAGTGCGAAGTGTTCTTTGATGAAGCGTGCTTGATGACCAATTGAGCATATCCATAAAATGCAACCACCAAAAAATTATGAGTTAAGCACCATCTCATAGCATCTCTAAGAGCTAGAATCTCAGCAATGTAAGCATCTGAAATTCCTTCATACCATTTAGCAAAAGCAAAGGATAACATACCATCACTTAGGAAACCAGCAAATCCGATTGAGCCTCCTTGGTTTTTCTTCACAACTCTGTCAAATCTGACCAGGACACTATTATTAGAGCACATAGTAGTTCTTCTTACCAACACAAAAAAATCTAGGTTTGCGTCTTGCGCCTGCCTATCTCCTTTCACTTGAGAACATTACATTTAGGATTTGCCAAATAAGTTGAGCATGAACATGTAATATTGAGATGACTCTAGTCAATTGTGATCTGACTCCGATGATTGACATCGAGGGGAGAGGTTAAGGGCTTAAAGCTGAACATTTTAATTATATGTTTGGTTGAGTACAAACAAATGTCTAAGTGTGGGATATGATAACACTTAAAATGGGTGTTATTAGCCTTCCTAATCTAGGTGTTTCCATGTCTTAATTATGCTAGAACGAGCACTAAACCTTGCATGTTAGCATATATTTGTTTCCTAGCATTAAATTGTGTCGGTGAAAATGTGTTGGGTTTATGTCATTTGGGAAGGAAATAGGGAATAGAGTGTAGGATAAATAGGAGGAGAGTTTGCATGCAAAATGGAGAAGATCACAATGGTGGTTCATGATCTTCAAGTTCACAAGACTTTCAACAGTTCACGACCGGGAAATTTATCCCTGGTTGTAAACCCAGCACCCAAGAGTCAAAGAAGCTCAGAGGGTTCTTTAAGAGACTCGCGGGCCTTCGTCAGAGAGCTTCAAGGTCACGAGATATATGATGTTCATAGTCGTGAACTTTTCCAAAAACGATTATGAACTTGTCTGAATTCTGAATTCTCCATATCTATAAATAGGGGCAGGTCCTAGGGATGACAACAAAACCCGAACCCATGGGTACCCACCCGACCCAACCCGGTCAACGCGGGTAAAATCCGTGTTGACGGGTTTTGGGCCGGGTTTGGGTTTAAACCCGTTCACTATTCACTGGGTTGGGTTTGAGTTTAGGTAAACCCGACCCATGGGTACCCGCCCACACCCATATAATTAATTTTCTCGATATATTTAATATTCTAAACAACTAATCTTATTTATGTTTGTGGAGACATGTCTAATTTTTTTCTTTCTAATTGTGTGGAATGAAGTTGATGTTATCGAGTAGAGAGTGAAGAAACTTAATTGAAACGAAGAAGCTTTCAACTAATCATGTTATTTATGGATAATTTGTGATTTGCTTCAATTATCTTGAGTTTTCTAGATTGGTGTTGAACAATTTGTATAGTTAATTTGTGATTTGCTTGAATTTTCTAGAATGGTGTTTTATATATGGATAATTTGTATTGAGAGATTGATATTTGACTTTAATTTTTATAGGAACTTGTTATTGTAAATATTTTACGACAAACACCCGTGGGTACCCATGAACCCGCGGATACCCAGCGGTTGGGTTGGGTTTGAGTTTTTCAAACCCGGTGGGTTTTACCCCGGGTTTTTTCACGAGTAAAACCATGGGTTTGGGTTTGGGTTTGGCAAAACCCGACCCAACCCGACCCATTGCTATCCCTAGCAGGTCCCCAAAGAGATAGAAGAGTAGATTTTCCATAACAAAAGTAAGAGAAGAAAGAATCTAATTTTCTTGGAAAGAAAAGAACAAGAAAAAAAAGAGGAGGAGCTCTAGATTGCAGCTGATTTTGGATAGATTATATCCCTAACTATGGAGATCATTAAAATTAATATATAAGCCTAACATGAGAGTTATTTTTCATTAGTGGCTCTCACACTCCTCCAAGTGCAAGTGGAAAAGTTCCAAGTCCTTCTTTTACCCCACTCTCCATTCTACAACCTTTGTGTTTAGTTATTGTTCGCTAGGTTTTCGTCTATAATTTTTTTCACAAATCATCGCCTTTGCCCACCATTTTTGCAGCTCATCTCGAAATACTGTCGGCCGAATCCTAAGTTGTTCCCCACCATCGTTTCCCAAGTCCGCTACCACCAGTTTTGTATCATGACTGAGTTTCATCCTCTTTAGTGTTTTTTTCTTTTTCCTTTTTGTTGAGCATGATCACAATTGAACCCAAACACATGTGTATCCTAACTTGAACACAAATCATCGCCTTTGCCCACCATTTTGTAGCCCATCTCGAAAACCTGTCGGCGAAATCCCAAGTTGTTCCCCATCATCGTTCCCAATGCCGCTACCATGAGTTTTGTATGGGGACCGAGTTTCATCCTCTTTAGTGTTTTTTCTTTCTCTTTTTCCTTTTTGTTGAGCATGATCACAATTGAACCCAAACACATGAGTATCCTAACTTGAACCCAAACACATGGGCGTTCGCTAGGTTTACATCTGTTGTTTATTGTGTTTCCCATAACAATTATTGCCTACTAGGTTTTCAGCTCCCTATTGCAACAACTATCCAATTTTTGTACCATTTCGCGACCCAACTCGAAACACTATTGGCAGAATCCTGAGTTGTCCTCTTCCACGGTTTTCCATGGCCGCAACCAAAGATCCATACTATATATGCTCTGTCCAATCCTCAACATCGCTCACCAATTCACAACCTTCTCAAAACACAGTCAACGAAATCCTAAGTTGTCCTCTCCACCGTTTCCCAATGCCGCTACCAAAAATGCATACCATATCTACTCAATGTTGGCGAGTTTGTATCGGGACCGAGTTTCGTCCGCCTTAGTGTTTATTTTCTTTCACTTTTTCCTTTTTCTTGAGCATGATCAGAATTGAACCCAAATCCATTTTATCCAACCTAATTCGATCCGCTCAAAGCGACTTGAAATGGAATTTAGCAATTATAAATTTCAATTTTTTTCTTTTGGTTGGGAAGACAATTTAACATGAATCTAAGGTATTGACGAGTGTTGTATTGTGAGAGAGCTTTATCCGCTTTGGTAGTTGGCTGGTTGGACCAAATGTTAATTTGTCAAAAAATTGTTCAAAGCGAGTTGAACACGTTGTTGACCAGTTTTAGATCGAAAGCGAGTTTTGTATGCATGGTATCGAGGGCAAGTTTTATCCGCTTTTGTAATTGACAGGTTGGATAAATTGTGAATTTGTTAAAACTGGGTAGACCCGGTCGAAGCGAGTTGAAGGCATTGTTGAGAGTTCGGGGTCATGGGCTAGTTTTATTGGCTTTAGTATGTTTTTTATCTTTTTTCTTTTGGTTGAGAATGACAATTGAGTCCAAACTCATGGGTACACAACCTAATACGACCCTACCAAAGTGACTCGAACCGAGTTTTGCAGGTTTTCGGCGAGAGCTAGTTTTATCTGTTTTTTTAATTGGCGGGTGTGTCAAGTGTGAATTTGCCCAAAACTTTGCTCAACCAGTCAAAGCGAGTTGAACTTGATGTTAACGAGTTTTGAGTCAGTAGCGAGTTTTAGCTTTAGTGTTTTTCATTTCGCCTTTTCCTTTTATTTGAGAAAGACAATTGAACCCAAGTTCATGAGTATTCAACCTAATTTGACCCGATCAATGCGAGTTGAACCTCCTCAACCTTGCAATCAATCCAAAAATTACATAAAGGAGAACCACGATTACCTCAAACCAAAAATAAATAAAAACCAAAAGAGTACAATTATGTTTGACCCGAATTTTAGAAGTACCTCTAAAGTTTCGCTTTTTTAAAAACTGAAGTTTTACGTAATTTAAAAGCAGAAACTCCGATTTAAAAATACAAGATTGTCCATACCATATATTATTCTTTTTCTAGAAAACATAATTTTCTTTCATTTATATCATTATAAAAAAATAAATTGCAAAAATAGTATTATTTAATATGAAATAAATTTAACGTGATCCATTTTAAATACTTTCTATTTTTAGAATTTTTATTCATATTTCATGTTAGAAATCTTTTTTAGTCATTTTAAATTACCTCTTATATTAGAAAGTAATTCTGATAGTTTTTTAATTAAACACTCAACAGTTTTTTCTTAATACTTTTTGAAAAGATTTAGAGAAGCTATTTCATTCTGCAAAAGTTACAGCAGGATCAACTACTAGACATACAAATTGAAACAATAACGTCATGAAAGAAGTTTAAACATAAATAATCTATTCGACGACTCTTCTACGGTATGCAAGTTCATCGACCATATGCTATTGTAAATAACAAACATATGAAAAGAATGATTAAGAATGAAATAAAATTACTTTCACTTTTTGGGTCAACATTAAAATTATTACTCTTTGAAATATTTATATTTCTGATACGCGAAACTATAGCGAGCGAGTTTTTAATTAAAGTTTTCAAGTTTGACAATGAATGGTAGCATTTTAGTTCTGACTATCATCAAAATTTAAATTGCTGATACCAACCACAAGTTATTGCTTCAATCTGGATGGCTGTCTGAAAGAGGAGGACGATTGCTAGTAGGGGATTTAATACGCCACTAATGCTGACAAAGAAATTGTTTAGCCATCATTTCTTTTTCGGTACATCCGACTCCCGCCATGCTTTGAACGTTGCAAGTCCCATAGAACTTTCTGAAGAGAAGCTTGCTTGTATTGTATAGGGAGGATATATAAAATATGGCGAAAGGCAGCTCTGGTTTCTCATCACACTTCCCTTTTTGCTCCTCCCAAATGGTCTCACGCAACGAATTCTCCCTGCCTGCACTCCCCAAGATCCTCAAGAAAATGTCCAAGAAGATATTTGATCTCCGCAACTTTGCCCGTAGTGCCAAAATGCCAATCTTCTCGGCCATCTCCTTTGCCGCCATATTCTTCGTACTCTATTCCGACCACCTCTTTTCTGGTCCTTCTTCTTCAAGTGGCACAGCCTTGCAGGAACCAGCGCTCCCCATCACCACTGAGTTGCCACAACTTAACAATCAAATGAACATTGATCAGGAAGACTACGATGACGAGGGTGAAGTCGTGGATCCTCTGGTCCCTCCGGAGAATGTGACAAAAGCTGGAAGAATTGAATGGTTCCGACAGAAGCTCCCGGAACTCGACCTGCTCAATTCGAACGAATTGAGCGAGAAGTTCCATGGCCGAATCCTGGAGTTCTTCAACAACAACTGTTCAGTCCAATTCTACATGGTATGGCTCTCACCAGCCAAAACATTTGGACCGAGAGAATTCCTGTGCATGGACAGTCTCTTCCACTCAAATCCAGAGGCATGTTTGATCATCGTCTCCAGGTCCATGGACTCCAAGCATGGTTACAGAAAGCTCAAGCCTGTCCTCGATCTCGGCTTCAAAGTTCTTGCAGTCACACCTGACGTGCCGTTTTTGGTGCAAGATACACCGGGTGAAGATTGGCTCGAGGACATGAAGAGTGGCACTAGGGATCCTGGCTACATCCCTCTAACTATAAACCTCTCCAATCTTATAAGGATTGCAATGATATACAAATATGGAGGTGTGTATATCGATACTGACTTCATAGTTCTCAAGGATTTCTCAGAGCTAAGGAACGCAGTCGGAGCTCAGACTGTGGATCCAGTGACTAACCAATGGAGCAGCATCAACAATGCAGTTGTGGCGTTTGATCTGGGCCATCCTATGCTGTTGGAGTTCATAAAAGAATTCTCAAACACCTTCAACGGGAACAAATGGGGCTACAACGGGCCAGCTATGTTTTCAAGAGTCTTTCAGAGGATGGGTGGAAGCCTACCAGATTACAACATAACAGTCTTGCAACCCAAGGCATTCTATCCAGTAGACTGGATACAGATCCGGAGGCTTTTCAGAAAGCCGACAACTGGATCTCAATCAAGATGGGCTGACCGGCTCCTAGTGGAGCTGCAGGATAGCTATGCATTACACCTATGGAACAAGAGGAGCAGGGAATTGATTATTGAAGATGGAAGTGTGATGGACAGGCTGATCGCCGAGCACTGTGTTGTCTGCCAGCATATCAACCATGCTTAGAGAGATGTTCACTCTTGTAATTCAGCAGTTCCAGAGCAGGAACTGTAAAGAAATCTTTTGCAACTAAAGAGGGACAGAGAGGTCTGAGGTTTTGTTTTCCCCAGCAAAAGGGTGTACTACTACTACTGCCTGAATATGTTATTTTCTCAAATGATAATGCATTTCCTTTCACTAATGAGTTCCTTGCTTGTGATTCTTATCTTCTACTCCCAAGAAACAGAAATGAAGTTCTTCAAACATCATCTCAGAATTAGCAACACAATTGGAGAGCCGCAATCTGAAAAGGTCTCGGGACTCTGGATATACCATGAGTTCTTTGGTCATCTCAAGTTCTCAACCTAGCAAGGTTCTCATCACTTATGACTTAGCAGACCCTACTCTTAAGTTAGCAAAAGCGAAGTTCCCCAGAAATCGAAATAACCGCAGAGAAGCAACTATGTACCTAAAGAACACAGTTCTGAGATTACCAAAACCTGAAAATCCCAACCTCAAGACCTAAACTCTGAAAAGCCAAGCAAGTAAATGACAGATGAAATAGTCATTGAACATAAACCTTAATGCAAAAGGGATCACATTGAAGAAGCAGCGTAGTTTCAACAATTGAAAATCTACAGAAAAGTGTTCATCAGCACAAAAAAAATTAAACATGGGAGAAGAACTCATCACTCATCGGTTTCAATGGCGACTTCTTCGCTATCTTGTACCAGTTCATCTGGATTTAACGGAGCTGCAGGAACCGGTATCCTCGGCGGCCCTCTCCCTTTCTTCTTGTTTCTCGGCCTCGCCTGCACCATAAACAACAAGAACGTAAGCACAATTACGGAGGTAGTGATGAACATTTCGAATTCTACAGCGAAACAGTCTAAGATGAGAGTTCCAACATTGCCGAACGAGTGAGCGAATCGCTTTCCTTTAGCAGTCTTCCTGTCGCCTCTGCCGCAGTAAACTGGACAGAGCAGAGAAATTAGGTCATACAACAGAGTAAAGTTATCATCTGCAGAAGAGATAAGTCCGGAAATTACCCAAGGGAAGCGATGACGAAGCGGAAGAAGAAGCCGAGAGCGTGAGCGAATTGAATGAGGCCTCGACGAAGGACGTGCCTTGAATCTCTGAACGAGAAGAAGAGAAGCCAGGGCAGAGTTTGAGCGAACGAGGGGTGGCGGACGGAACAGCTGCCACCATGAGCGACGCCATGGCTGAAAGCTTTGGGAAGATTGCTGTGTCTTGCAGATAAGATGCTTGAGAAAAAAAGCCGTTTAACTTGCTTCGTGCTGGCTGCTCTTCTTTTCTCCTTCTCGCTCTATCCGTTTCTTGTTATTATTCTCTTTTTTTTTTTTTTTTTTTTTCCACCAGAGGAGCATTTGGGCCACTCCAGCCGTCCGATGTTAAAATGGGCCTCGGGCTACTTGTTGTCACCAAAGATACAAATGGGTAATTCCAATGGGCTATGGTAGCCGAATTGTTGGAGGCAAATATGTATATAGTGATCAACAAGCTGCGCATAATCCTCTGCTGTTGGAGGATGGATCAGAGCGAGTTCAGAAAGCGTCGCTTTCTGTTGATCATGAGCCAGTAGAACCACTAGTAAACGACAGGATGTGGATACGGAATGAGTTGAAAATATGGAAACTATGGAGGCAGCCAGTAGCTAGCAGTAGTGAGTAGCCCCAAGTTGCTGACTAACGATTTTGGTTAGGAGACGTCGTGACTTAGATCCGACCTTGATATTCCAATTTTTGGAAGGACTTATTTATGTTCATGATCCTTCTATTTTACTACTTTGTAAAATCTGTAATCCTCCTACTTGTGTGGATAATGTTGTTTAATCCTTAGATTATGTTGATTGTCATATCATATATCTTTTAGGTTCTTTTGGTGGACTTGTAGCTGTGTAGTCATATGATGTTTCAATTTCTTTTTTTTATTCAGAAACTCTTTTTTTACTGAAAATGTGGTAAACTTTATTAATCAGCTGAAGCCGTTACATTGTCAACCTGTAACTGATCAAGTAGAAACATAGGGGGTCTTTCCAATCAAACAATTGCCTTCGTTCCTCGGGTAGCATACCGAGACATGAGATGTGCAGCTACGTTCGCAGAGCGTCTCACATGATTCCACGTTGCATTACCCATCTCCATTAACAAACGTTGGACGATCCTACTCACAACACCAACTTCCGTTTGGATCTCCTGCTGAATCAAAGTAATTAACGTAAGACAGTCGGACTCAAGAATTGGATTAGTAACATGAGCTTGATGGGCCAGCTGTAGGCCAAATTCTGTCGTCATTGCTTCTCCCATCTCTACATCATAACTCCCCTCAATCTTCTTCACTACAGCTACCAAGAAGCTACCTTTCTCCTCTCTAATCACCACACCCAGCTTCACAAACCTATCCTCCGTGAAACCTGCATCAGTATTAACTTTAAATCTCCCCGCCTCCGGAGCTTTCCATACCGTCATCGCATGAGGACTAATGGCTACTTGTGTGTGGCTCTAGTGAGTTTTATAGTCAACCAAACAATACTTTGCCTAGATCACAATCTCGTCTTCATCCAATTTTCAGCCATTGAAGAGTTGGGCGTTTTACTCTTTCCATAGAAACCATAACACAACTCCCCAACCTTCCACTGTCTCTTCATCCCCTGTCTCCATAACCTTCTACAGGCATTGGAAACAGTTCATAGCCGGCTTATAATCAAAACACCCAGCAAACCTAGATGCCCTCCAAATGCGACTAGACCACTGATAAAAATGGGTAACTCCAATGGGCTAAAGTAGCCGAATTGTTGGAGGCAAATATGTATATATTGATCAACAAGCTGCGCATACCCCTCTACTGTTGGAGGATGGATCAGAGCGAGGTCAAAAAGCATCGCTTTCTGTTGATCATGTACCAGCAGAACCACTAGTAAACGGCAGCATGTGGATACGGAAGGAGTTGAAAATATGGTAACTATAGAGGCAGCCAACAGCCACCAACAGTGAGTAGCCCCAAGTTGCTGACTAACGATTTTGGTTAGGATATGTCGTGGCTTAGGTCCGGCCTTGACAGTTCAATTTTTGGAAGGACTTATTTAAGTTCATGACCCTTCTATTTTACTACTTTGTAAAATCCATAATCCTCCTGGATAATGTGGTTTAATCCTTAGATTATGTTGATTGGCATATCATATATCTTTTAGGTTCTTCTGGTGGACTTGTAGCTGTCTAGTCATATGATGTTTCAATTTCTTTTTTTATTCAGAAACTCTTTCAATTATGTGTTCATGGTGAAATGTATGTGCTAGTATCTGTGTATTTGTATTGTGATGATGTGGCCCGTAGGAGACAACTTCATTATATTTTACGTTATTGTTTATTGCTTGTTGTCCCTTTCATGGTTGTTGAAGATTTCAATAATATTTTCCGCTCAACAGAGAAGCAGGAAAGAAGGGACTTCAATCTAATTGTTCTTTACATTTCACAAAATTTGCGAATGATTTGGGCTTGATGGATATTGGTTTTACGAACCTCAATTCACTTGGCAACCGGCATTCTGAGGATACTATAATACATAGCAGGCTAGACATATTTTTTCTGGAAAATGATTGAAAAAATGTTAATAGAGCCTTATCGAAACATATTATTTACCAAAGAAGTAATGATAGAGCCATTTTATTTAGGTGGAATGGAGTAGGGCGGGCAGGTAAACTAGTCTTCATGTTTGATGTGAGGTGGAGTAAGAACACAAAAGCCTCTAACATTGTTTCCAATGTTTTGTTGGACTCTCTCCAACTACAACTTCCCTATCGAAGGCCAAGTATAACCAGGGGTGGTACTCGATACCCAGAGCGTGGGCCAACCCGTCGATGGTCAGCTCCCTGTGATCGCCACCCAACCGGAACGTTACTGCATACTCGTCCCGGGCCATCGAGTGGTCGTAGCGATAGGTGGTGTAGAACTCCCACACCAACTCCGTGAAGGTGGGCTCGTCAATGGCAAGCAGGGTCCGCCAATCAGGGTGACTGATGGCGGTGCTAAGCTCCTGCAAGCAGTGGAGCTGCTCGAACACTGCCCACTCGAGGTGGTGGTGCTTCTCCAGCTTCCCTCGTATCACCTTGCGGAACTGGTCCGCATACTCCGCGTGCAGGCGCAGATCCTGCACGAAAGGATGGTCCTGCGACATGGCCCTGCAAAATCAAAACACCATAGGTGGAGCCAAGAGAATAGATGGTCAGGACTAACGGCATGGGGTCAGTACTTCCCCCACACTCGAGCTCACCTAGGCTAACAAATTAAGCACAGCCAGGTGAATTGTAAGCCACTCAACTGGAATTCAAGGCAGAATCACAGAATAAACCACAATCATCACACAGACAGTTCATCTATCACATACACAGCCATGCACGCTCGGTCCTAGAATCTACAGTCCGATTTTCCATAAACTAGAAATGAACAGGAAACACACCTGGAAACACAAGGAGGACCGTAGCTAGGACTCGAAAGACGGGTGAGGGGCGCGAGGAGAGCGAAAAAAAATCACCCCAGAAACTCGCCGGAAAAGGGCCGGAAAGTCGCCGGAAAGTCGCCGGAAAGTGTCCGGCGGCGGCGCGGCGGCCGGCGGCGGCGGAGGGCGGCGGCGCGGCGGCCGGCGGCGGCGGAGGGCGGCGGCGGCGGCGGCGGAAGGCGGCCGGCGGGCGGCGGCCGGCGGCGGGCGGAGGGCGGCGGCGGCGGCGGCGTCCGGCGGCGGCGGAAGGCGGGCGGCGGGCGGCGGCCGGCGGCGGGCGGCGGCCGGCGGCGGGCGGCGGCCGGCGGCGGCCGGCGGCTTGTGATGGCTGCCGGCGGCGGCCAAGGAGGAGAGAGGGGAGAGGAAATGGGGGAGGAGAGAGAAGTGATTTTGGAAAAAATGAGAGGTAGAGAGAGAAATGACCGGGGGTTTCCTTTATATAGGAAAAATACCCGGTCGGGTATTATCGAGTCCTCGACCGGGGAATTCTGTCAAACGCCGCGTTTCAAAGGGTGCAAATCCCCGGTCCCGCGCCAAAAATACCCGGTCGGGTATTTTTGGCGGGGGATCGGGGGTTCCAAAACGCCGCGTTCCACAGCCGAAATTACCCGGTCTCAGGCCAAACAATTACCCGGTCGGGTATTTTTGGCCTGAGGCCGGGTTTTTTCCTTTTTTCGCCCCGGAAGGCCGAAGGGGGCCCGGGCATGAGCCAAGAATACCCGGCCGGGTATTTTGGCTCATGACCGGGTATTTTACCCTTCCGGCCAAAAATCTCATTCGTCCCAAAATCGCGACTCTCCTGCACGAAAACACCAAACCGAGGCATCACAGACGACCGAACTTCATGACAAACATGCAACTGACTTGACTCGACACCAAAAACTCAGAAAAAGGGAAAAGAAAATGCGAACCGTGGTGGGGTTGCCTCCCCACAAGCGCTTCTTTACCGTCTTTTAGCTGGACGCCCATGGCGGAACTAAGGGTCCGCGAGTTCCACCACCAACTCCGCACGTTCGACCTCGCCTCCTAGGTAGAGTTTGAGACGATGGCCATTCACTTTAAACGGCTCAGTCTGCGGATTGGCAATCTCGATAGTGCCATACGGGAACACCTGGGTGACCGTGAACGGTCCAGACCACCGGGAGCGGAGTTTTCCGGGAAAGAGCTTCAGGCGAGAGTTATAGAGGAGAACTCGATCACCAACCTGGAACTCTTTCGGACCCCGCAACCGGGCATCGTGCAGGCGCTTAGTGCGCTCCTTGTACAGCCGGGTGCTCATAGGCGTGGTAACGCCACTCTTCCAGCTCCAACATCTGCAGTTTTCGCTCAACACCTGCAACATGAACATCCAAGTTGAGCAGCTTAAGGGCCCAGAAGGCCTTGTGCTCGAGCTCCACGGGCAAATGGCATGCCTTTCCATAGACAAGCCGGTACGGTGAAGTACCAATGGGCGTCTTGTAGGCAGTGCGATACGCCCACAGAGCATCATCGAGCTTGGTGGACCAATCTTTGCGGGACTGATCCACCGTTTTCTCCAGGATCCGCTTGAGCTCCCGGTTCGTCAATTCGGCCTGGCCACTGGTCTGGGGATGATAGGCCACGGACACCTTGTGAGTCACACCATAGCGAGACAGTAGTTTATCGAATTGGCCCTGGAAATGGGTGCCTCTATCGCTTATGATGGCTCTAGGTGTCCCGAACCGGGAGAAGAGCTGCTTCAAAAAACCACAAACACGTCTAGCATCATTGGTGGGCAAAGCTTGCGCCTCAGCCCACCTAGAGACGTAGTCAACAGCAACCAGAATATAGGTGTTACCAAAAGATGGAGGGAAGGGGCCCATGAAGTCGATACCCCAGACATCAAAAATCTCACAAGTTATAAACACATTCTGGGGCATCTCATCACGGGCAGAGATGTTACCTGACCTCTGGCATCGGTCGCACCTG